GATTTTATAAATTACATTGTTGTTCGAGCATAATGCATTGGTATCTTTATGTGTTTTGATAAACTTGTCCAATTTGTTGAGGACTCTATACCCTATTATATGTTCTTTTTTATCGAAAAGGTGTGCTGTTTTTTCAGAGATGCTGTTAATGAACGGAATAACAATAATTTTCCTTCTATTTTCTTCCGAGTCATTATCAACATCAACATTAGTGTCAACTCTATTCGCATTTTTGTTCTGTTTAAGTTTACCATCGAATAATGTCCTTAATCTTATGTTAATTCTCTTAAAGATCAAATCTATAGGATAACCGTTGTTCATTAGTATGTTAATACACAATTTTATGTTCTTTGCTTGGAATATAGGGTGGGACAATAGTATGGACCTGTCCACTAAACTGTATATCGTGCCAATTTTATGACACTCTGGATGGTTCGAATAGTATGCGACGCCTCTTACGTGGGGCAAACGAAGCGACAACTGAAAACAAGAATCAACGAACACAAAAACAATTATAAATTGGACCCATCCAGACATTCAGTCATTACAGAACATATACTTAATTTGAATCATAGTTTTAATTGGAACAACCCGGAGATTTTAGATTTTGAAACGAATTACTACAAGAGACTAATATCAGAGATGATACACATCAAAGAACAAAAAAATGGTATTAATTCTAATAAAGACACTGAATTGCTGGATGGTTCTTATTTTAACATCCTAAACGAACTTAGTAACAACTCATAGGGAGTTAAACATTGGTCTATTTACATCATTGTTGTCAACCGATTCCGACACGGAACGAAAATGCTCAGTCACACACAAGATTCGACACGATACAGTTCTTTCTGAAAACTTTACTAACTTGAATTTGCTATGGTCTCAGTACGTATAAGTGCAATAATAGCCTTAGATTTACCCACGTTGATAAGTTTTAATTTATAATTTTTACAAAAAAATTAATTTATCCATTGACTCTTGATTACAGTTTACACTTTCATCGTAATTATTGACTCTTGATTGTGACGGACAAAAAATCACAGATTGACTCGATTCGTTCTCACTGCCGACTGAGGAATTAATCATGGATTTTATCATTCGACGTTTAATTAAGATTGATACACAACGATTCCGAATTTTTGTTCAGCAAGTATACACCTTGTCAATCTACTTTAATGACTTCATCAGTATGTAATATTTTGGATCTCAATGTTATCTGTATGTTAATTTCGATGTGGAAATTTGTTACTCTTGACACATGATTCGTGGCATTTCAATTAATTGTTAAAATTGGCTGAGGAAGGCACAGTGTTGCCGAAACGTACCATTTGTAATTGTTACATTAATAAATTTTGAATTTTAACGTCTAACATTGCTCGTTATTGGCCGGCAACCTATTTATTATTTGACACACACGAGCTTGACCTTTAATTATATAAATATATATATCTATTAATCCTCCGTCTGACAACGTTATTTGGGATCTTTCGATTGACAACGTGGATCGGTGGATGTGTCGCCTTTGACGTTATTTCCCCATAACCTTAAAGTATTTTAAAAAATCTTAAACAATTCATGAAACATCTGTGTGTTAACATTGTAGATAACGTTTTTATATGTAGTCATTTTGATAAACATTGTTTATTTAATATTTCCTGCCGGGCTTGTAAATTTTACGAGCAGATGTTGTTTTGGCTCGAACGCTGGTGACTGTCAAACGGAGAGCTAAGAAATTGTTAGGTTAACTGCAGATATCATACCGTTCTGTATTGCTTTATAACTACGATCAAACTTTATAATTATTACAACCAAATGAGTAACCAAATGATATTGTTTAGTTAACTCAAAAAATTTACCAAATTTTGCTTGGTCAACCAAAAAATTCTTCCATTTTGCTATCGTAACAAAATTATTTATTATCTGTGAACAACTATATTTTTTTGTTACCATTAGTATAACTTTTCTCTCAGTGAACATTGGTATCAGGTGACACAAACGAGTCGAAACATTTCTTGGCAAACATACGTAAGTATAATTCATGTTTCCAAATGACATCGTTCGGTGCAACAAAAATTATATGTGACAATTACATGCCAACGTTCAAAGTGCAAGGGCAAATTTACCATCGTGCTGGATCACTTCTACCAATGCCGGATGCAGATTACAAATTTCTTCAGATTTATTTTATGGGGACCAGTGATGAACAAGTTCATCAACGTTGTCGATTCAATTCCGGCACAAATCCAGAAATTGTTGTTGCATTACAAAATTTATTCGATCAATACAACGAATTAGTTCGAATGTTCAGGACGGCACTTCAGCGAATGCCAGCTGATGATTACGTAGTTGTCATTAGAGCTGACAAAACACCACCGGGCCAACATGAAAGACAATACAACGCACCAACAATTAATGAAGTGGCGATCGTGGTAGTTGGTGAAGAATTTAACTCGCGTGATATAATTCTTCATCGTAGAGATGGTAATGTTCAGCGAGTCTCAGAAACTCATCGCTCATACACGATGCATTGCAATATCCAATTTTATTCTGGCAAGGAGAAGATGGATATCATTTCAACATTAAAATGATAAATCCACAAACAGATGAGGAGACCAATAAGAAAGTTAGTGCCATGAATTACTATTCATATCGATTAATGATTCGTGAGAACGCAGACAATCACATTTTGAAATGTCGCCAATTGTTTCATCAATACATTGTTGATATGTATGCAAAAATCGAGACCGAGCGACTTCTCTTCATTCGATTGAATCAAACCAAGCTGCGCTCAGAACAATATATTCATTTACGCGATGCAATTGCTATTGATAGCAATCCAAATGAATTGGGAAAGATAGTCATACTGCCGAGTACATTCACAGGAAGCCCACGGCACATGCATGAATACGCACAAGATGCAATGACTTATGTTCGTGCATACGGCCGTCCAGATTTATTCATCACAATCACATGCAATCGTACGTGGGATGAAATTAAAGAACTTTTGTTGCCTGGACAATCGTCTGCGGATCGCCATGACATCATCGCACGTGTGTTCAAACAAAAATTGAAATCTATGATGGATTTTATTGTTAAACATCATGTTTTTGGAGAGACACGCTGTTGGATGTATTCTATTGAATGGCAAAAAAGAGGATTACCGCATGCACATATTTTGATTTGGTTGCTCGACAAAATTATACCAGACAAAATTGATGAAGTCATCTTAGCAGAAATACCAGATGTCCAAAATGATCCAGGCTTATTCGAAGTCGTTACCAAAAACAATATTCATGGTCCATGTGGGGCGATCAACAACAATTCTCCGTGCATGAAGGATAGAAAATGCACGAAACGCTATCCAAGAGACTTACACTCCGAAACTATCACTGGAAATGATGGATATCCACAATATCATCGAAGATCAACTAAAGATGGTGGTAAATTGATCACTATAAAAGTTCGTAACAATAATATTGAGGTCGATAATCGTTGGGTTGTGCCGTATTCACCATTACTTTCAGAAACGTTTAAAGCACATATAAATGTCAAGTACTGCAATTCGGTGAAATCGATTAAATACATTTGCAAATATGTCAACAAAGGAAGCGATATGGCAGTTTTTGGAGTGGAAAATGCATTTGCATGGCACCAATCGATGAAATCGAACGATATCAATTGGGACGCTACATTAGTAGCAATGAAGCTGTTTGGCGTATTTTCTCATTTCCAATTCATGAACGTCATCCAGCAGTTATTCATTTGGCAGTACATCTTGAAAATGGACAGCACGTGTATTTCACAACGGAAAATGTACATGCAAGAGCATTATCGCCACCGCATACAACGTTAACTGCGTTCTTCTTATTGTGCATAGACGATTTGTTCGCAAGAACATTACTTTATTCAGAAGTGCCAAAATACTACACATGGAATGCATCAGCGAAAAAGTTTCAACGTCGTAAACAAGGCAAACCAGTTGAAGGATATTCGAATTTATATTTATCCAACGCGTTAGGCCGTCTGTACACAGTTCATCTTAACAATCAAGAATGTTTTTACTTGCGATTACTGTTAGTTAACGTACGTGGACCGAAATCGTTCCAAGAACTGAAAACAGTAAATGGTGAATTATGTACGACCTATCGAGAAGCTTGCCAAAAATTGAATCTTCTTGAAAACGATGCACATTGGGACACAACACTCGATGATGCATCGAATACTGCTCAACCACAGCAAATACGTATGTTATTTGCGATAATATTGACAATGTGTTTCCCATCAAATCCGAAAGATCTTTGGGAAAAATACAAAGATTATATGAGTGAAGACATCTTACGTCGTTTACAATCAACGAATCATAATAAAGATATGCAATTCACACC